GGCGCCTGATAAGTCAACATCCCCCACTTACATCACCCATCATACAGGGCAAAATGTTGCCGGCCCGGGGTTCAAATGGTGTTTACTTTATTCAATTATTAATGTAAATGTATTACATCATCCTACCCTCACCTATGGTCATGAAGGATGGGTCATGACCATAGACTGTATATATAAATGGACGTAGGGTCTGTGACGTCACCCATAGGATTCTGCAGAGTTGCCGTGAAGCCCTTAGTAGGCGGAGTCGGCCACTAACGGCTCGACGGTGTCGTCAGAGTCTAACTCCCGCCTTCTCCCGCCTTCTCCAAATAAGGGCAAAGAGGCGGAGCTGAGGCGGAGCTGAGGCGGAGCTGAGGCGGAGCTGAGGCGGAGCTGAGGCGGAGCTGAGGCGGAGCTGAGGCGGAGCTGAGGCGGAGCTGAGGCGGAGCTGAGGCGGAGCTGAGGCGGGACAGGGCGGGACCTGCTGCCAACGAGCGTGACGTTCGAGTCCTAGCTCAGGCTAAGAAGCTAAGCTAACATGCTCTCAGTATCAATCGAATGTAAAACATGATTGATGAAAGTAGTAAATCGGTCAGATTTGACCCGAAGACAACAGGAGGGTTAATGCCATATTCACTTAGTAACGCATGAACAACTTTTACAAATATTTCTATATAGTCTGTGTTGGTAAATGTCATCTAGGTTGCACATTTCCTGCTGAAATACATGCATACCAAGTCACTGCGTGGCACTTTGGTTTTGATAAAACAGTGTAGTTCCACTATATAAACGTTACATTCATAATCAAACGAGACAATCTGCAAGATAATTAGCTATTTGGTATTATTCTTAATGCTTGTCATTCACACGTTAATAAAATAAAATAAGTACCGATACATAGCAGAATAATTGTGGCGGTGTTCAGCTTAATAAGCCTTGCTCAACATCATTTATTTAGCTAATACTACAGCGGGCTGCAGGCGAACCAAGTCCGCGTTACGATGCATTCCTTGATCTCCAGTTATAACGCCGGACTCCGCCGCTGGCCGAAGCTAACGGAGCCCCAGGGTGCTAGCTACGGCCGCCGGGACGCGCTAGCGAGCTAGCACCCTGCAGCCCCGTTAGCTTCGGCGGCGTGGACTCCGGCGGCCCACGCACCCCTTTTAACATTTGCTCCCGTTTAGCATTATGGGCGTCATAGCTATATAGTATAAAAGTCTTACCCAAGGCTGAATCATAAACTAAACTGTATATATGTATAAAGGGTTACGTCCTTAGCTGGCTAATAAGCTACATAACAGGCTAAGCTAACAAGCACACAAACACCTGCTAACGGGGTTAACATGTATAATATTATCATTTTACTCACCGAAAAAAGCTGAAAGTAGACTTCTTGGAAGATCTGTTAGTACATTCAAGCGCACAGCACGACATTTTAATTATCTGGTATTTGTAACAATATTTCCTAACAGGCACGATCACCACGAACACAGCTAAAGGATCAAGTACAGTAACTACAACTAACTAACGTTGTAGCCTCTATGGTTGTAGCCTAGCAGATTGGACAAGTTGCTGTTAGCTGACAGTGAGGCACGTATCTGTCAATCAAAGTGACCACGCCCTAATGTATGCACAAACTTTAAGACCTAATATAAATATAAAGGGTCGCGTTAGAAAACAATTCACTCACAGATCCATAATCATGAAGGTGGAATCTAACTATATCGATAATAAAATGTATGGAGCCAGGGGTAGAAACATGTTTTTTTCTGCTGTAAAATCGGGCATTTTAACATGGGGGTCTATGGAAATTGCTCCTTTCTGCAGCCATCGCCTATCGGCCAATATATGAACTGCAGTGTGTGGCACTTCCGTATTGGCTTCCCGGCTCTACCCCACAGTTTGCCGCTTGGTCATGACCGAAAGAACGAGATCACGGATACAAGCGGCCGAGATGGGTTTTCTCCGCAGGGTGGCTGGTGTCTCCCTTAGGGATAAGGTGAGAAGTTCGGTCATCAGGGAGGGACTCGGAGTTGAGCCGCTCCTCCTTCGCGTCGAAAGGAGCCAGTTGAGGTGGTTCGGGCACCTAGTTAGGATGCCATCTGGGCGCCTCCCTAGGGAGGTGTTCCAGGCACGTCCAGCTGGGAAGAGACCAAGGGGTAGACCTAGGACCAGGTGGAGGGATTATATCTCTTCGCTGGCCTGGGAGCGCCTTGGGATCCCCCAGTCAGAGCTGATTGATGTCGCCAGGGAAAAGAAAGTTTGGGGCTCTCTGCTGGAACTGCTACCCCCGCGACCCGACCACGGATAAGCGGGAGAAGATGGATGGATGGATGTATGTATTACATCAAGGGCAGAAAATTAGGCAGAATACAAATTTAAAATGAATGAAATTATTTTTTTATTATTATTTTTCTTTCTCCCAGCGCAGCGCCCCTCCAGATCTGGCGCCCTAGGCGACCGGCTAGTTCGCCAGTGGCTAGAGCCGGCCCTGGCTGCAGCAGCAATAACCATAAAATAATAACTCAAATACCACAAACATGATATTGACCAGTATACAGATTATGCACATGATTTTGCGTTTTTAGAGAAGAAATTCCGAGATACGTTTTTGCGTCATGTCAGTTACTTGTGTTGTTGTGCGTCACGTTAAAAGTAGCCGACTAAAAACTTTTTTTCGCATCTTTTTTATTTTTCTTCCCTGAAGCAAAATTATTTATTATATAGTTTTAAATTATCATTTGAATAATAACATACAATATAAAATATAATCTCAGGCACAATGAAATGAAATATATATCAAATAAAAAATAAAATAAAATTGCAGACAGGCGAGCTCCGCACCGCCCCCTGCATACACAGTACACCTGCGACTGTTACAATGAATGCTCGATAATCAGCTCACGGCATATAGGTGTAAGCAGGGGTAAAGTGCAATTTTTTACAAGTGGGGGGCGGACCTAACCTCCTCTAGGGGGGGTCCTCACCTCCTGTAGGGGGGTGCGGGGGCATGCTCCGCTCGGAAGATTTTTTTGCCGTTGGGTCCTAGCCAGGGCCGGCCCTAGAATTTTGGGGGCCCTAAGCGAGCTTACTACATGGAACCAACTTTTGTCTTATGATGTTAGCATAAGCACACATATTGTATAAATGAGCATGTAAACACCGTGGACCCTCTAGGGGGGTCCGGGGGCACGCTATCCTGGGAATATTTGTTTTTTACTGATTTTGAAGTTAAAAGCATCAATCTGGTGCACTTTGAGAGCAACATTAAGAGATCTATGGATACATCTCTCAACACCCATATGAAAACAGAACTGTAAACAGATTTTTCTTTATGGATATTTTACAAATCACTCCCCTTTTAAACTGTATTCTTGTTTTGTCATATAGTATTTCATAACTGTTTTTCATTTATTCTCTGGCTGTCCATCTCATAATGTTCACATAGAAACTAGCTGTCAATAGGAATATCATTCAGAAGAATTATAATTTCATGCAAAAATCTGTCACAAAAAGAGGTTGCACATTTAAATTCAGGTGTTGTTATGGCAACGTCAGTGGCCAAACAGCCACATTTACTGCTGCAAATACGTTCAAACATGCTGTCGACACGTAAAGCAGTGGCATGCCACCATTTTAGCTGACTTTTTCTCAGAAATACTGTCACAAAACATCAATATATTTCAGTGCTAGGTTGATGCTTAGCCAAGCTAACTATGAAACACTTTAAGTGACAGGACTCAGGATCAACTGTGTACTGTAAGGTAGCTTCTTGCTTCATGTTGCTTCAACAGTAAGTCAACATTTTCCAGAGAGCTTTCTTTGAAATCACCAGGTAACGCTAAAAAACATTACATTTAGATTTCATGACAAAGTGTTTATTTAATATCTCTGGCTAGCTATAGCTACTTGCTAACGGTTTAGCCAGGGCTGTCCCTGGCCAACATGAGGCCCCACGCAAAGTTATATGATGAGGCCCTCTGTTTCGCGAGCGTCGACCGGGGGGGGGGGGGGGCTGGGGGGTTGCTGCGAGTGGAGTCTCGCAGCGGCGAAACCGTGCCACGCCACACTAATTGCGCCGCATAAGCGCATAGGTGCGCCACATTTTTGGCTCAGTTGAGGCACCCTCCGCAAGATGAGGCCCCCTCCACAAGGTGAGGCCCCACGCAGTCTGCATGATCGGCCCTGGGTTTAGCTTACCCCCGCGATTCAAAGTAACGTCAACGTAGCTGTAATGTATGCTTTGCTTATGTTCGCATAACTTAGAAGTTTACTGACATTTACATACCTTGTTTACCTGGCTCAAGTGGTGGCTCTGGGGTTGTTGTGTGAGCCACCACTTGAGAATTGTCCTCTTTTTTAAGAAAAAACGTTTTTATGTCCATCTTCAAAAACTCTGTTTCCGACTGAGTTTAAACATTGTCACAGCTCATAAGACAGATGTTTATTTCCATTCAACTCTCTGGTTGGTCTGGTGTCTTGCCTCTGTTGCATTACTGAACACGGGAAATTACATTCCTGCCGTCCTCTCTAGTGTCATGATGAGATTCAGGTAAAGCACGGTTAATGTATTATATTATTGACTCAATAATATAATACATGACTTTGAGAGTAGGCAATCTAGGCATATTAACAAAATTAATTACACATATTTATCACGGCGACGGTGTACTGACATTTTTTTTTGTTGTTGCTAGGGGGCCCTTAGTGGCTGCAGGGCCCTAAGCGGCCGCTTTTGTCCCTTAATGGGTCGGGCCAGCTCTGGTCCTAGGGCTCGGGCCCTAATAACTCCACCAATAACAATAGGTTCCTCGCACTTCGTGCTAGGACGCCGTTGGGTCCTAGCGCTCTCGTGCTCGGGCCCCAATAAGATTGTATCTCATCTTGTATTTGCACAAATCAAAAAGGGGCATTTTTGGCATTAATAAAGTGGGTGTTGATTTAAATATGCTTTCCAGGTTTATATTTGAACCTGGCATGTTTCATTTAGCAAATTGACCTTAAAAAAAACCAAAACATTTAGATTTGGAAATATGTTTTATTCCAATTGCCATATATTTCAAAAATAAAAGCAGGGTCTGTGAAACTGTAAAATCTAAAACCATATCCTGTACAAAGTTGTGATCACATTAACTAAATGGCTTTTACAAAACTATCTAGAACAGATCAGCCATGATAGCCTGAAATATAAATGATGTTACCATTGTGGAAACAACTTTTCAAAATAAAAGGCCCAAGTGAGCCTGGAGCCATATGGTCCCGTATCTGACAGACTCCCATCACACAATCCTGAATGCATTAAAACAAGCAAACCTGTTCAATACATTGAAGAGACAGATAAAGGAGTGGGTGGCATATTCCAAGCCTTAAATATCAGTTCATATAATAATTGTGTTTTCATCTCCTCATGAAGTTGTCCAGGGAGGCTGCCGTCCTCTGAATGGAGTGGATATTCCTCCTCACTCTGTCCTCTAAGGAGGAGCTGGATGCACTCTCCAGCTTCATATCACTGCAAGAAGGAAAGGTGAGTGTTACTGGAGTTACAAAACAAGCATGCAAAAGAATGAAGAGACACCTGCAGGACATTATATGTGGATTAAGACAGACAAATGATAAGGTTTCCACAGCCTATGATTATTTTCCGTGTCAATGTTGCTCAGAAACGTACTGAATGAAGCCAGCGTGCCGGTCACGCTTGACAATTTTTTCCCGCTGCTTTTCCTGCTCGTCTTGCTTCTTGTATCTCCTCACATTATTCTCCCTGTCCTCATCCCTCTGCTTGGCCTGGTCCATCATCTCCTGCCTCTTGTGCTCCAGCTCTTCTGCAGAGAGCTTCCTACGTCAGACACAAAGAAACATAAGGGAATTACTGGCAATGCTCTGTAAACAGGTGATCATTTAAATATGTTTTCTGAAGACCTTATTAAAGTTAATCTGACTTAACCCATAGTCAGAATTAACATTATAAAAGGACGCTTTCAAATAAATATTGGAATGTCTGACGCATCAGCTGATTTAAAAAAGGAAAGGATTAATCAGTTAGTGTTTTTTCATCAGATTTACTTTTTTTAAAGAATAAAACTCTTTGTTCGCAGCAACCTGGAAGTAAAACGGTTAAAAACACTTAATGCCAACAAATATGGATTGAAGCAGAATAATTGCTTGGATACATATTTTTGTGACATTTTAATTATATTTATTACTTTCTTTAAATACATTTGAACTTTTGGATTTCTTTTGGAACAAACATTCTTGCGTAGGCACCACTGGAATGTAATTGAGCAAATACTTATAATATTGTAGTGTAGCTTTGCAAAACAAAACAAAAAGCTGTGCTGACTGATTGCTAATATTCAGATTTGTATAATATACTTGAGAATAATGACTCAAAGCAGTTATTCTGCATATGATCTAAAAAGATAGAGATACTGATATATACCATAGCAGTAAAAAGACAGAAGATTTGAGATCTAATAATGGACGGAAACTCCAGTATTAGATCTTGATCCTTATCAATTCAAAACTTTCATCTGAGAATAGTGAGCATCGTTTTAAACCTGCACAGCTCTCCACTTTGAATACAGTATTCGTCATATTTTACTGTACTCCGTTTCTCACATATTTTGTTTATTACAATAGTCTTAAAATAGCTTTTATAATAGTACTGTTTTTTGCCAAGTATTTTTCTTTCTAGGTCATTGTATGCACCATTTTTACCAAAGGAAATTCCTCTCCTGTAATACTTAATAAAACCGATTCTGATGTCAGTATTTGGACTATAGCCTCTGTGAGGTCTTACTTGGCCACAGGGTGCCTCTGTCTCTGGTAACGGTCTCCCTGTTGGCTGGAGCCTTTGGGCTCGTCCTTCCTGTCGCCTCTGTGTGAGGAAGAGGAGTGGGCGTGGCCCTCCTGTCTGTTCCTGTGAGGCGACCGGGAGCGGCTCCTCTCACGGCGCCCGGAGTGATGGGAGGGAGCGGAGGACTGGTGATGTCTGCCAGCCGGGAACTGAGAGGGAAGAGCCAGATTAATGACTGGAGTTGTAAATGCATGGTAAAAAGTAGTTTATGAAATAGTGCTTTGCTGCTAACTGACCTGCAGGCCGTAGCCCGGGACATGATGGGAACGAGACTTGGTGTCTGTTGAAGATTCATCTCTGGAATGTGACCTGAAAACAGATCAAAGACTATAATAAATAATAAAGCCCTTTGCACTAATTGATTGATAAAAAGTGAAAGTCCTTCACTTCAGCTTTCAACAGTCCCCTCACATACCTGTGTTTCTCCTCCTCCTCCTCTGAGCTTGAACTAGAACTCCTTCTCTTATGCTTCTTCTCTTTTTTTCTCTCTTTGTCTTTCTTCTCCTTTTTGTCCTTCTTCCTCTTCTTCTTCTTGTCTTTCTTGTCCAGATTCTGGCGCAGCTGTGAGAGAACCAACGAATCATTTACAAAATATAAAAATACAAACTGAAGTTGTCTTCTGTTAATAAAGTTAGGAGAATCATTACTGGAAGTTGCAGAGGAAGGAACAACTTGTCAGATATGAGTGAGTTTTTTTATTTATTAACATTTTCTCAAAGTTAGCATGTTAGAAAATATCACAGTAAGAGATCTTAAAATATGTATATATTACAAAAAATAGTTTTTTTTACCATTTCCTTAATTCTCTTCATCTTCACTGGATTACTCAAGACTTCTCTCTTCTTTTCTTCTTCACGTTTCCTTTAGAAAACCAACAAAACATGATTATATTAAACCTTTGCACCTGGTAGCATGTTTTCAGAACAAACGACCAGAGATAAGGGCCCCACTTACCTGATTTCAAACAGGGGGTCTTCCCTGATCTTAGCAGCCAGGTCGAGGTTAGAGGCGGGAGTGGAGGGGTTGAAGATGGAGCCGGGCAGGAGGCCGGTCTCAGCTGACGGGCCGGTCTCGGGCTCCTCGTATTGGTCGGTGATCTGCTTGTCGATGGCACGTCCCATCAGGTACTCGTCTCTGGACACCTGGCCGGCGGGGCCCTGGTACATCCAGTCCAGCCGATCATCCTTCTTCCTGTCATCAGAAAAGGAATAATATATTAAATCAGAAACTCATTTTCTGAGAACCACAAAATAACTTTCATTACAATATCAGAGAACTCACTTGATGGATCCGGCTGTCTCTGCAAATCTTGTTATTTCTTCTCGGGCTCGTTCATCTTTCAGTTCCTTCTGGAGTTCCTCAATCTTCTTGCACTCGGCCTCATGTTTCTGTTCAGCTTTCCAAACACGTTCAATGTTTTTCATAGTCTGGGGATGCCAGCTCTTTTTCAAGTTCTGGCAGAAGACAAGATGGACAACATTTAGTAGCTCTTACTTTAAAAACGATCATGTACCAGCTTTAGCGTAAACTTGATTTTGTTATAAAAAAAATTACTTTACCCTTTTAACCAAAGCTTTCCACATACCCAGTATGTGTATACAAATCTGACGGCTAACATACAATCTACAAAATAACATTTTCGGGTGTATGCACATCAATTTAATGTGTGCCAGAATATTTCAACGGAAATCTCAACTTTAACAGTTGACACTCACATCTAGCCACTGCCAGTGGTGTCAAGTAACTGATTACATTTACTCAAGTACTGTAATGACGTACAATTTTGAAAGACTTATACTTTATTTGAGTATTTAAATTGTATGTTACTTTGTACTTCTACCCCACTACAATTCAGAGGTACATGGTGTACTTCTCCTCCACTACATGTATTTAATACCTTTAGTTACTTCACAGATGTGGATGAATGATGTGAAATCTAATCAAGTGTTAAATCAGACTTTAGTTCCACCTGGAGTAAATCCACAAGCTACCCTGCAGTATACAAAGTCATTCAAACTAGCTGCACCTTTACCAGCTTTGAGAACACTTTCATGATCAATCATTATAAAACATTTCATATATATTATTCTGAAATGGACCAATCTGCACAACGACTACTTTTACTGTCGCTACTTTCACTATATTTTGATGAGAATACTTTTCTACTTTTACTTCAGTAAAATTTTGAATGCAGGACTTTTACATGTTACAGGGTATTCCTACACTCTGGTACTTCTACTTTTACTCAAGTACAAGATCTGAGTACTTCTCCCAGCTCTACATCTAGCTAACGGCCAGCTCGTTGACCTTAAGCTAACGAAAATAAGCCGTTACTTTCAAACTATTAAAATATAGGAATGGTCTAAAACGAAAGTGTGCCGAACTGAGGAAGCGCTTTCCCATTCCCAGTAGACATTAGCTCATGTTGTAAAATATGTATCGACACCAGTAAACAAACGACCGTCTTTTAATGACCATATTGTCAATGGAATTGTGTATCAACGGTCTAATAACAGAAAAGCGGCTTAGATAGCTCATACTTACCAAATCGCCTCCCCCCATCTTGAAAAATTCCTCGTTTCAATACAACAATAAAATGAAATAGACAATTCTGTCCCACAAAACTGGAGAAAACAAGTTCAACGCTAGCTAGAAAATGGAGCCACCAGGACTTGTGTGTGATGTGTTTTTTACATTTCCTGTTGTGGATAATTCTCTTTCCGGTTACAGCTAGCGGTGCTTTTACGTACCCGGCATAAACTCCGGGCATTACAGCGCTGGCGTCTTGAATAAACTATTGACGCCATGACATAACGTTCCCTTGAAGTAGTTTTAACCTCCGTTAATATAACGTGTGTAGATGATTTAGCAGCTGTTACTACCACAAGCTGTCACATTGTGCTATTAAACGTATCATGTTTTAGTTTACCATGAATGTATTCACAGATGGCAAACTTTCAGTATGCATCACCCTTATGTTTTAGTGCAACTTTGAATTTCGGCATCTCGACGATGAACGCATGTTTCGCAACTCAGAATGAAAATTGCTTAAAAAGAGTCATTCTTACCTAACCGTGTAGTTCATTTTGTGGGACGTATGAAATATGTGAACATATTCAATATTTCAAAACGTATATCATTAAAAAAAAGCTATTGCCTTTCCCCCAACACAATGCCCCACTTGTGAAATAAATTCAGTAACAAACATAAGATAAATATGCTTTGATATATTAAGTGAATTCAGAGAGTATTCAGACCTCTTCCCTTTCTTACCTCCGTATTTTGTTGCAGCCATCAATTGACACTTAATACACAACAATAATAAAGAGGAAACAGGATTGTATAACTTTTCAAATGTAAAGGTCTCCCATTTCTCTTGATAATCGTTAACATGATTCAACTGAATGATCATGAGTTCGAAACGTAAAAACCTTTTTATAAATACTTACAGCTCATGGGCCCCCAAGAATAATTGTGTGTGATTCTTACAGTAAATTCTGCACACAGCTTTACAGTATCAACAATTTATTCACTGATCACTTCATTAATTCCCTCCAGCTGAACCAGGGGTGTTGCTTGGATCTAGCAACATTGGGGGCTTTAGCCAAGTTTGACAATTGTACGTTCGAAAATATATATGTATATCAATAGAGTATAGAAGAATACACAATATGAAATGTAAATAATGAATGAAAACTCTCTGTAATAGACCAATCTACCACCCAAACAGACACACATGGACATAGGTTAGTCTATAAAAGTACAAAAGAAGTAAATCAACTATATGGTAGTAAAGCAAGAAGATGTTTTCCGTCATAAGAATTGATTGCATTTCGAGAGCATCATACTTTTAATATAGGACTTACTGTAACTGTAAGCCCATATAATCTTATCGAGACAAAAATAATACAAAATGACTGTCACTGAGGGCCCCTTTAGCTCAAGAGCCCCTGGGCACATGTCCAGGTTGCCCATATGGTAATCCAGCCCAGACTATAAGTACTTTGACTAAAACTACTTTCATCTTTACTCTTAATAATTCTACTAATAATAATATAATAGTGTTGTCATAATTAATACAACATTTAACAGCAAATAATAACTGACAGTTAGCACATCTTCCATTAATAAAAGTTCAACATGGACACAGAATATAATTTTTTTTATTTAAAAGACAACAATAGATTAAATACAAGTTATTACACCATGATACTTAACTTATTAAACGTTTTAAAATCTATTTTATTGCAGCCAACTAAAACATTTACTATAGCAACCAATACAAAAATTTGTCCATCTTGCTCTACTGACCAACATAAAAGACTATCAATAACATCAACAAAAAATAATATTATTAATACTCAAAACACAGCAATTGACTAATGTTTAAACATGGTCTTCCATTTATTATATTCTATACATAAATACAGCAATATTGAGCCTCCAATAATGCAAGCCCCTAATATAAAGACATCTCAGCCTAATGACTGTGATGGGTTACATACATCCTAATAGTGCTGCTCACACTGCCCGCTACACAACTAGTGATCAATTCATAGATTATGAAAGTTAACCTTAACAAATTATTCTGCCTGTTATTTTCTTGCATTTTGTTTCATTAGCTAGATTGCTAGCAACCTTTTTCTGCATGCTTATCCAGAATCCAATGGGTGTTGTTACAAAAATGGTTTGTTAAATGAGTTGTGGAACATAGAAAAACTCCAGACACACGAAGAGATCTTAATCTAATGTGTTGAGAGATAAGCCCTTTACAGACTGTTTGTCGATAATTGCGACTATAGCTTGATCCGACATGCAAATAGGTATCGAGCTGATGGTATTTTGAAGAAATGTATCAACCCACATAATGAGGTACACCTGGATCAGTAGGAAATCCTTCTGCCACCTTCCACGATGTCTGAACCTCTTGAGGCATGAATTCACGGTAAATTATTTTGGGATTTTCTGTTACACCCTTTGTGACCTGTGAAGCAGTATCTTTTTGTGGCCACTTGAGGGCAGCAGAAAAAACTGTAGATGCAAAATTGACATATTTTTACCGTTTAAAGACGTTGACGTGGATGAGAGCTGTGAGAATACAGTATAGTTTGGAGATGGAAAACCGAACAATACCTCGGTGAAAGACCTGTGTTTCTTTGGATTTGCCCGTTTAAAACAAATGTGACCAGGGACATATACACAAAAGAAAAATGACAATGTAATTTAGTAGAATGGGAACAATGTTTTTCTATGGGAAAGTCATTGAATCTATTGGTTATATAAAAACATTGTTTGGTGCAGCTTTAAATCTTGTGCCTGCAGAGGGCACTGTGGTAAACTACCCTGCTTAGTGTTGACATACCGCCCTGTGGAGTCCAGTTGATGCCAAATATGATCGCTGTCATCAGCATGTACCAAAGGATTTCTTTAATCAGGCAGCATTTTCTCTCCACGTCCATTTTTTGTGATCATGACGCTAAGCTCTTTCAGTGGCTCTGACTCCTTTACAATTTTTTCTTTTTTTATATCATTGTCACATCTTGTTGTTCTCATCTGGTAACCTGGACCAGTGTTCACATTCTCATCATTAAGTGTTATGCCAGAAGTGGCAACAGAAACACAAATTTTTGGTAAATACGCCTTTGTAGTGCATTCAATTCCCATTTTTATATTATATTATATATTCACCAACATTATAGCATGCTGCCATAGTACAGCATTATTGTCTGTTGTACTTTAGTAAAAGTACCATTTAATCACTTACAACATCCACACACAGTTCTGTCGCATGAACTTTCACCATCCAATGACTGTTTAAAAACGACATGCTGTATTATGTTCCAGTGGCTTATCACAACTTGCGCAGAAGGATACACACACCATCTGAGACTTATACAGAAAACGGTCTCTTTTCTCCGTTCAAAAGCATGCTGCCTTTGACATTAGTGTATTAAACTGTATTGGAGACAAACATTTCTCCAACACCTCCAGCAATACATTTGATTCATTTCTTTGTAAACAAGTTGCTACCTTCAGTTAATCTTTGGTCTACCGGTAGCAGAAGCTCTAGCAGCAACAGAAGTCCAGCAACAAGCTGCAGCTTCAGCTTGATCGCCTCCTTAGCCACCTTTCACTTGAATCCACAGAATCAGTCAATTATACTATGAATAAATTACAGTTTTTCTGTGTGCTAAAACATTTATACTATCAGAGTTTGCCTAGTTGATAGATACAGAAGAAACACTTTCTGTCCCATCAGACTTCCATCAGTGAAAGTTTGTCCAAACTTTTTTTCTACTTTCTATTCTATTGTAAAACCAAGACAACTCTATGATAAAGAGGGAACAAAATGTTAACCCTTAACTGCAAAAAATGCCTCAGAAAGTGATAAAATTACCCAGACTGCCCTGTCACGCTGGAGACTGAGGGGTCCGTCTCACATTTCAGCTTCAGTGGTGGCGCTGTGTTGTCGGACACGTTTGAGGAAGACTGAGGAGGGGTGGGTGTCTCGAAGCCTTTATCCATCCTCCCGTCTCCATTCACCCTCTCCTCCCCGTGTCCTGGCGGGGACTCGTGTGTGCGCATGTGTTTGGCCAGGTGGTCATTGCGCATGAACACTCTGGGGCATAATGCGCAGCTGAACTTCTTAGCACCAGTGTGCGTCTGAAGGTGGCGCTGCAGTTCATCAGAGCGTGTGAATCTCTTGCCGCAGAAGAGCCAGTTGCAGACGAAGGGCCGGTCCCCACTGTGCCATCGCAGGTGAGCCTTCAGATGTGAGGTCTTGGCGTAGGCTTTGCCGCAGCCGGGGATGTGGCAGTTGTGCATGTGCTTCCTCCTGCTGTCATCCGTGCTCTGGCCCAGCTGTTCAGCATGCACACAGTTAGGGCAGCGACACGCAGTCTGGCCCCCGCCTCTGGAGGAGGAGCGGCGCTGAGGCTTGGGCCGGGCGGAGACAGCGTTCTCCTGCGGTTCCTCCAGGGAGTACGCTTCTTGTTGAAGCATTTCAGGGGCCATTGGCTCCATCTTGAAGCCATCCTGAGAGAAGAGATGGGATGAGTGCGAGGCTGGAGCGAGTTGAGATGGAGGCAGGTTGCACAGGTGTGGGTCGGATCCGTAGGGCCCTAAAGAGTGCTGCAACCCCATGGAGCTCCCAGGATTTACCGAAGGCAAGCCGACATTCTGCCCCGTCTGCAGGTCAATCCAGCTCCCTGTTTGGACGTCCCTGTGGAGTTCCCACCAGGAGGGGATGTTCATGTCTTCTGAGCTGCCACTTGGGGGTGCTGTCCGCAACCAAGGCTCGTAAGGGTGGGCCATGAGGGAAGCTGGGCAAGGTGCTAGACTGTTGATGAGGTTGGCGGCTCAAAATCTTGTTCACTATATTTTGGGTAATGCTTAGAAGATTAGCACATGTTGAGATGTGTCCAAAAACCTGCAGAAAGAAAGAACAGACAAACTGTTATATCTTCAAATCTGGTATCAACTTCTCACTGTGTTGCATTTTCTCAATGGCTTCACTGAACTACATGCAATGACTTCAAAGCCTTGAGGTCATTTTTCCCCACTCTGAAAGACTTTGAAATACTCAGCCTTTGCTGATCTAACGTTTCTGAACTTCAGAAGTGCAGACATTCAGGCCTAAATCCTTCTGTCTACAACATTTAAACCCTAAGCACACCTCCTTCATCGCCATGGATACTGCCGTTCTCACGCTGCGTGGCCGAGGAGGCAGGAGAGAGGGGGAGACAGACGTGTCCAGGCAGAAGCCTGCCACATGCATCCGCTGCCAGGTACTTCCCATGGAGGACAGTCAAAGACAAGCGCAAAGAAAACAACATCATTGGCCCAGTGCAAGGCAAAGGCAGTGGGGTGGGGGGGCAGGGACAAGAGTGAAGGGGAGTGTTGACAGGAGAACAGTTTGGTAAAGGAAGAAGTTCCAGGGAGGTATGGCTGCGGGCCAAAGTCTATTTGTACGTCTCTGAGGTTTGTGGAGATGAAACCTGGCAGACAGGAGAACCTGTTTTTTATGAATCACACATGATTTACAACAGGCCTCCAGGCAAGATACAATAGGAGCCCCGTAAAACGGCCCGCCTCGAACACACTGGCGGCAGAAAGCATCAACAGTTGCAGACTGACGGCATTCAGGAGCCTGAGAATGGGAGGGAAACAATGACATGAGAACAATACTTTATTTACGTAATTATGGTGCACACGCTCTAAAACAGCATCCTGTCCCCGACACGCTCCAGGTATGTTCGTTTGTACACGCCACTGCAGCGTCAGTCAGAATGAGGAGGGGCTCTGATTTCAAAGGTGACATAAAGCTTGGTAATGTTGGACAAGTCTGTGGAAATCCATGACAAGAAGCTACCGGCCTACAAGACCTGTGCTCGGTTTCAAACATGTCCCTCCCCCAAACAATCTTGTTGACTTCCACCACACCCCCATCCTCCAACATCTACAATTATCTTTACAGCAGGAAACAGTAAAGAAGGCTGAAGCTATGCTGTCTTAATCTTGATCACTTGCTGTGAAACCATATCTGATGGAGCAAGCTGCAAAAGGTTGCCAAAAGAAAATAGGTCAACTCCATTAGAAGACATGCATCCTCTCTGATATGTTGATCAGGTGGAGCGTAGACACAGGCGGTGTAACTCTGACTGACAGTGAAGGAACCCCTCAGTAAATCCCAATTTGTTGAGTCAATACAGCCAAACCAAGACCATTACACGGCCTTCTCAAAGGTTCAGTCAAAGCAACTCAGAGATGCTTTCTGGTCGCAATGAAATCGTAAAGCAATTAGTTTGGAATTCCCTAATGAAAGGTCTGATGTTAAAGGTCAAGCTGATTTATTTCATGTCGGCCTGGAGCCAGAGTCGCTGCTCTGTAATCTTTTGGGAATGTGACTGGGATGCACAGCGGAATGGTCCCCACAACTCCACTCTTACTGACACAACCGTAAACAAACCAAGACACCAGCATCCGCCTCCGCTCACCAAAGTGCTGGGAGTGCCAGGAGCTCCTGAGGGAAACAGCTGGCATAGAAGGGCCCCCAGGGGGAGGGCAGCCCTTGAGGAGGAGGATGGTACAGAGCAATGACAGAGCTCTGGTCATAAAACCTGCCCGACCAAGACCCAGCACGGCCCCGCTTTATAGGTCTGCCATAGGGAAGAGGCACAGACAGGGAACAAACTCTTCTCTAGATTTCTTAAAACACTTCAACAAGTGAGGCACATACACTTCGCAGCCTACTAACACTACCTCACAGGATATATTGTACTTTGAATTTCAAGCCACTTTCTATGTTAAATAGATTGGTATATAAGATAGTGTTTGGATACGACTCTGAATGTTTTATTTGTATTTTATTCTATCCTTAAAGGTGGGGTAGGTAATGTTGGAGAAACCAGCTCGAGTGCGCTAGAATTTGAAAATACACAGCCGGAAGAAATCTGCCACTTTCTTACACAGCCCCTCCTCCAACACACACGAACGTGCACATGACCAATGAGGGCACGAGATAAGTTTGTGCACAGATGGAAGGCTGACAGGCAGGTAGGCCATTCAGTTACTTTAGCCGGGCCGACTCAGATGATTGGTCGTGCTTTTTACAGTACTACGGCTTCCACAGATGACATTTTTTTATGGATTTTTTGTCAAAGCACTTAAGATATTCATTGCTATCGGGATGTTAAGAATTCGTGTAGATTGTCAATGCTGTGACATAACCATTTTTCAACTTTTTCTCAACAATAAAGTACCTATCGATCTATCTATCTTTTCCTGAGTTTTAATAAACTTCCAGACTTGTTTCTTCTGATTTGAAAGCTAATAATTGGGATTTTCAAGACTGATAATCTGCTCGATTTAATTTTGAGGCCTTATTTCCAGAATAGTTTTGGGATTACTTTTTTTAAATGTATTCTGCGATTCAAACAATGGGAGTGGAGCAGATCAATTAGACTGGGGTCAGGTCAGTTGTCAGAGTGTACCACGATGAAATATCAAAGTCAGCCTGCACAACAGTTATTCAAAACCTGGTGAGTGCAATAGATAGGGGCCTTTAAACAGAGTTTATTTTAGAACGCTATGCTTGATTTGAAAAGGTAATCTGCACACCTGGGTAGTGGTGTGGGAGTAAGGTTAGTGAGACACAGAGCTGGAAGTGGAAGGCTGATCTGGTCTAATCGGTTCCAAGATAGCTTAGATATGGATGACAGTTTGACATGTTCAGTGATTTAGAGTGTCTGTGTGACACTATAAATCACTGAACATAATTGCGTAGAATGCACTTTACTGCATCTCACTGAAATATGTACTGCAGTTGTTGGGACATCTTTAAGGAGCCTTTTTGTTTCCTTCTCTCTTGCAGTAAACAAACTGCAAGAGAGAACTGACATTTTCAGAGCCTTCATTTGTAAACCAACATAAATCCAGTACAAGTGTATTTTTGATCAAGTTTGCACCTAATTTCCAATTTCCAAAAATTAAAAAGCGTACAAACACACACTGTCGTGTTTCAACAGGATTTTTTCACAATACTATTTGATGTGCTTGTTTAAGTATTTATGTTTAAATGGAGACAAAGATTAAAAAACAAACACAAAGACAGAATGTTATGTTAAATAAGATGTACAAAATGTGATATGTACAGTATATACAATGGTTACTAAGAATATTACTTTTTCTGTGCAGTTTTAATGTATATGTACTTACCTTTAGTTTAAAAATGTCCATTTTAATCTGTATTCTATTTGAAACATTATGTGTATTATAATACTTTTCATTATAGAATAACATTTCACATACAAACATCCAATCGGTTGATACAAACGTGAACTGTTTTAGGTTAAACTACCCAACATTAGTCAAAATGTGCTTTACCTTTTGATCCATTTACAGATTGAATTATCAATAATAATAATCCAATACTATGACAATATAACACCGACATCCCATTCTGCATATCTGTACTTGAATGTGTTGTCCTCTCTTCCCATATAGTTAGTTCTATGATTGAACTCAGTCAAACTTTTAAAATATGACTTGTATTTGACTTTGTGGTATTGCTACTTTCCCTACAGTAAATTATTCAAACTCTTCCACCACTATATATATACATGTCTTATTAAGTCTTGCACTTGGTCAATCGTCACTGTCACGCCATGGAATCGTTTTTCCAAATCAAACCTTTTTCTAAACAAAGATAACTAATTCAAACTATTGATTATTAACAATAAATCCTGTAAATCCTATCATGTGCACTTTGAATAATAATTTGAATTCCTACAGGGAACATACACATGATATGGCCGTATACTTTACAGTGACAAATGGGAGAAACAATTACATTAAACCAGAATTTAAAATGAACAGCATCAACAAATCACGGCAAATTTCTAAAAACAGCATAATGGACAGATTTCCTTCCTTCCTTTCTTTCAAAATGAATATGAATGTGAGTCCTATAATGTGGTAATTGCTTTAAAGTGAAATATGTTTTAAGATTTTAAGACCGCATAATAATTTGTACGTGAGTAAATGGCACACCAGGCTACATCCCATTGGAGTTAACCCTCCACACCTACAGGTCAAGTCAATATAATATTAACTATAATATTAAACCTCGACTTTATATTACTATAATCTACACAAATTAATGTTTTCAACTTTTGTATCAAAATAAATGCTTTGACTTCATTCTTCAGACCCTTAAATCAGAATCTTAAACTTCAGTTGTAAAAAACAATTGACAATATATTGTTATTTCATATAATTACAGTGGGGTAAGATACATCAGATATTTTACTTGTGTAAAATTAGAAATACTACAGTGTTAAAATACTTCGTAAGTAAAAGTTGTTTCTTCTTCTTTCAATGACTTTATATATCATTGCTGGATATCTTTAACTGTTATGATATATCATAGTGTATTTATATTTTGTTTTAGCTTAAAATCAGAATCTGTAAAGTAATTTGTAACTCATTTTGTCATAGAGTAAAAAGTACAATATTGGCTTCCAAACTGTAGTGCCCATGCCATTGGTGTATAAAGAAGCATAAACTAAAAATACTCAAGTAAAGCACAAGTAGGCTACCTCATATCGATATATAAGTACAATACTTGAGTAAATGTACTTCAATACATTAAACCACTGTTTATTTAACTGCAGGTCTCAGGGTCTTCTCGTGGAAAATATATGTTAATTATATCTCCAAGTCAAACCAAAGCATGGTTAATAAAGCAATGTAATGTTGAGATATATTCATTTATAGTGCAGTAACAGACGCTTATCTCGCAGGGAGAGAGAGGTTACCTGTTAGTGCTGGAGCTGCTGAGTTATTCTGAATAAATGCAGCTCGTGGTCTCAGCTCTGCTTCTTCTTCTTCCCGTCGTCGACAAACGTGCACAGAATAATATCCTCATCATATTTCATCTGATTATCTCCATCGCTGACGGTCAAAGTGAGGCAGTATGATCGTTTTGGCGCACAGGTAAGCAGTATGGTGAGTAGTGAGAAACTTCATGATAGGCTGTGCGTCTTCAGTGCCTCCAGGCCCCGCCCCCAACTCGGCCCGCTCGGCCCGCTCCCCCCTGGAGATGCGCCCTCCCCGGCTGGAGGTGAGGACACGGCTCGCTTTAAAACCCGGGAACAATGAGACGGTCTACAGACTTTCAGAAAATATATTTATTGTGAGGTAAAGTCCAGTGGTGTAATGTAACTAAGCACATTTACTCAAGTACTGTACTTGAGTAAAACATTGTACTTTATTTGATTTTTATTTTGTGCTACTTTATACTTTTACTACAGTTTTCTTTTTTTTAACACATATTGTTCTTATTAGGGTTAGGGTTACCTCTTATTTTTACTTCACACATTTACATAATTAGTTACTTGAATATTTAGGTTATTTATACAAAATGTAAATCAACACACATTATTCAATATTATTATAGGTTAAGCTACCCAGTTTATTGTATAAAGTATTTAATGTAAACCCCCCTTTTACCAATGATGAACACATTAATGCACTTATAATTTTAATAGAGTAATTACAATACTTAATATATCTGGTGTTTAAAATGACCATTTTGCATAACGTGTACCTTTACTTTTTGTACTCAAAGTATTTTTTACACTACTTTTTTACTTTTACATTAGTACAATTTTGAATGCAGTACTTACTTATACAAAATAAAGTAACTGAGTACTGCACAACTTCTTCTTCACGTCTAATCCTATAAAAAGAGGCTAGCTTAATATTTGTTTTCTGTTTTAATGCAAGTGACATTTTTTAAATGTTTATAAGTTTAATTTAGCTCTTTTATTGAAAATGCTTGTTTGAACTAAGAGTAGCCTATATGCAATTTAAAAAAGTCTTACATTCTAGTGTACATGTTTTGACAATTATCCATTTTTACTTTATATTTAGGGTTTTGTGAGCAACATAAACCCTTTTTTGTTGTAATTGGCGTACAAAATAGTTTTGGCTTTAGTACTGTGGGCAATCATTTTTGTCAATAAACAATAGTACACCTTTTTACATTTTGTAAGTAGCTCCACACAACTGAGCTAGCTCAATCTGCTAAAACCATGACATTTTGTTGAACAATTGTGGTTTTCTGTTTTAACAGTGACATGATTATTATTCTTTCACACAAGTTTCATTCCACTCTTTTATTTGTTTAATATATCCAAGACTTTGGGAAGACTGCATTTTCCTTCTTTGCATCAAGGAATAATCAATACTAAAATTAAAATGAACAAACATTGATGTCCATTGATGGATTTAATGTCATCATATGTGGCAATAAAGGCATGTGTTTGTTTGTGTGTTTTATTGTATGGTGATTTTGTATGGACCTTGGCCTGGTCTCTCTTGTAAAATGTGATATATATAATAGTCTAGTATATATAATCTCAGAGAGCATAATGCATACGTTACATACATATAGACATATATTTAAGAAAATGTTTCTACGTTTTATTTGATTTAATTTATTACAATAGTTGTCATTGGGCTGCAGTAGTTCAGTTAGTAGAGCTGGACGCCCATTGGTGTCTCCATGTGGTGGACCCAGGTTCGAATCCAGCCTGGGACCTTTTGCCGCATGTCTTCCCCTCTTTCTCCCCTTTCAACACTATCACTTAAATAAAAATGCAAAATAAAATAAAATGATTGACTTTATTATCAAAGCTATAGCTAATACCTTAAATAAACACAAACTCTAAAGATTTGATACATCTTATTCTCATGAGACACTGTTAGCTACAGCAGTGATGTTGCAAATCAACTTTTCTTTACTGTAGCACCGGTGCAGTAACCTGCCCAGTGAAGTGCAGTCTGTGGATCAGGGAGTTAAGACCTGGAAATCCTTTGATTGAGGACACTCCTGAGGTGGTTTGTCTCGGGCCAAAACACACAAATCTGGAGTTCTTACTCTGCAGAAAACAGGGTACCAGTTATTGAGCGACCTGAACCATTTAGAGGAACAGCATCTCACATTAGAAAAAAACGTGTTTTACGTGACAATTGAACTGCTACAAATGGCCAGAGTGCCAAATAAATATAGTTCCCAGCTTGTAATCCTCGGTATATGTCAGAGTTCAAGTGACTGCTGTGGCCTTCAATGTGCATCACGCAGTTAATAGTTTTTAACATCATCTTCCTTTGAGGGCTTTCTATTTTATTTTGTCTCCTCACTGAGTTAATTCCTTTCCTGTCACAGCATGTTGGGGGTGCAGCTTCAAATCAACTGACAAACACAGACCACAGACAGGCCGGCGGGAGTCACTTCCTCTCTGCTCCTCCGTCTCTGGAACAGCACTTTACAAACGCCATGACACTAACTAAAAGCTCAAGCACTGTATGTATAGCTACCATTTTGAGGAACTTTACTTAAGTATTTCCATTTTCTGTTACTTTAAACTTATACTCTGCTACATCTTAAAAGAATATTGCAATTTTCTAGTACATTTATCTAAAAACTTTAGTTGCTTCAGTATTCAGTTTATTAACCCTCCTATTGCCTTCGTTCCCCCCCCCCCCTTACTTTGGTGTTCGCGGTCAAATTTGACCGGTCCTGTTTTAACTGTATTACATTAACACAAAAACCATTCATCATCACCAAATTTCATTTAACACCCTCTCAAACTGTAAATATTGTATCAGACTACTGGTATACATGAAAAACTGCAGTAAATATACAAAGAACAGACACTGAACATGTATTGGTGTGCCAGGTGTGATCCATGTGGGGGGATGGGCACATAAGAGCAGGAAATGTATTAAATTCTTCTCTGTGTGCGTGTGTGTGTTTGTGCGTGCCAGGTGTGATTCACATGGGGGGATTGGGCACATAAGGGGGGGGGACATCTAGAGTGTGTGTGTGTGTGTGTGTGTGTTTTATCTGATCCGGATGGTTACTAATTCCTTTTCTTTATGGCGGTCATTTTTGTGTTACAAAGTTGACTAAATCATCCAAAATTCAATGAAAGTGGTGATCAGCAATTTAATATGTTCAAATATCTACTGTGAAGGATATCATAAAGCAATGCAATCGAATGTAAAGCAAAACAGTTATGATTGATGAAAGTAGTAAATCGGTCAGATTTGACCCGAAGACAACAGGAGGGTTAATATAACATTTCAAAATAAATGATGATGTAATATTATAGATTTAGCTACCCAGCAGTATGTATAGTAATTATAATAAGCTTTTTTCTCAAAATACTGTACATATTCATGCATCAGTAATACCAACCCAGTCTCATAAAAAAACGTGTAATAACTACGTTGGTCCACAACTTGGGACGTAGTATTTCTACAAAAACGCCTCTGAAATTTTAAGATCCCTACGTTTTTTTTCACCATTCATTTCCACTGGCTGGCGTCTATGTCACGTGATCTTCAAATTTCTCCCTGCAGAAAAAAAAACATGGCCGACATTCGTTTTATTCTCGGTGGAAAATGCCTATTTTACGGTTAGTTTGGCCATTAAAATGCGTTTTGATGTCATTTGATGCGAGAAATATGAGTTGTTATTTCAGATTATGTGTGCAGTGGATGTACATGATCTTTAGTTTGCTAGTTATTACGAAGATTACTTCAGGAAATTGTGTCCATAGATGAGAGTAACACCTACGCCACTTCCGGGCAAAAATTACGGCCCCGCCCACTTTTGGGGGAAAACAACGCTGTCATTTGAATGGCGGTCAATACAAATTCTGAAGTTTTTGCCAATCCGATCAAATTTTTCTGAAAGCCGTGGATTTTTGGATCTTCAAAGAGCTCGATTACGATGGCCAGTCAGGCAAACAATTACATTCGATCATTGGTAATCGACAATCGGTCTTGATATGTGGTTAAATTAAAATGAGTAGGCGAGGCTGTAATTTCTCCAGCTGTTACTCTCATGAGGGAGGCGGAACATAATAGTTGTATCATGTCAAAAAGCTGCTGTGTCGTTTATTGCACCTCAAACATTAAACATAATCAATAGTTCAGTGCAGAGCCGTATAATAGAAGAGTTACGACAACGGAAGTCCAAAAACGGTTATCGTCACGTGGTTCATGTAGACGAGGATCGTTCCCCGGAAGTTCATGGCGGGCAATGTGAATGCACTGATAACAGGAGATAGAACTACGATTTTTGGTAATTATTAGTGAATAAAGGTTTTGATTTGCAATATTTATACAACAAATCGATATGTGTATGTATTTACATCAATATGTTTTAAAAAATAAAATAGAATTTGCTAATATTAAGTGATAATATTAGGATTAGTGTGAACAACTAGTTTACATGGTAGGCTAACAGTGCCTTGGTTAAAGAGCCTGTTGCTGTTTATTTATAGCTTTGAATTCTTTAAAACCAATATTATCTTCTTAAACTTGTATGGTAGTCAGGAGCATCACTTTCTAATGTTTATTGATATATTTAGAGGGAGGGGATCTAAAGTAATGCTTTAAAATTCAGATTAGATTAATGTCTACCATTTTCTTAAATTCATGGTAGTTTCAGTAATCCCATGGTAATTGAGGACACAAGTTATCTAAATGACTAATGTCATCTTTATGGCTTTCAGAAAGGACAGGAGACCGACAGGTGACTATCAAAGGACTAGCAGCAGCAGCATGATGATGATGATGTTAAATGTGTTGTTTTAGGAACATCCATTGCAAATACATGGAATTCAATAAACATTGAATAGCATATCATGCAGTTTGTCTGTGCCTTTTCCTCCGTGTTGTCCTGGTTTGCTGTGCTGCCTCCTAGTCGCCACCATGGTTTGCTGTGCTGCCTGGGGATGCTCAAATCGCTCCGAGAAAGGAGTACGAATGTACGGCTTCCCCACTGACACAGAGCGGAGGAAAAAATGGCTGGCTCAAGTCAGCAGGAGCAATTTCACGACCAACAGCAAAAAAATATGTGAGGTAATTATATACAAACACTGCATTTGCACTTTTTCACAAAATGAAAACCACACCATTGGGAAAGCTTAATGTTTTGTTTAATACAAAAAAACAGGGAAAGGCTTGAAAAACACAGAGTTG